AATCCAGACTAAGGTCTTCCCATATAGAATCGGGTACCGGTAATGGCATGTACAGACCTGTATTTTGACTTCCTCCTTTATAGATTTGACACACCGGGCAGCTATCGACGAGTCGAAACGTATCACGGCGAATTCTGGGCCAAAAAAATCTGCATTGCAGCTGTCTAAGTGTGTTGTCACGGCCAATGTGAGCTGCGAGACCTCCACCGTGAGCTTCACGAATGAGCTGCTGTCTCCAAGATGAAACGGGTATGCACAGGAGATCTTGCTTGAACAAGAAGCCATGTCTAATTGAATATCCGTCGCAGGGCAGCGAATCAATACATTGCTTCCAAATAGTACCGAAGTCAGGGTCTGTTTCATAGAGCTCTTTAAGACATTCTAAGCCAGTTATTTCGGTCTGTAATTTGGTGAGTAAAACAGTCTTTCTACTCAGCGCATCAGCCACCCGATTATCTTTCCCCGGTTTGTGTTTGATAGTAAATGAGAATCGTTGTAAGAACATGATCCATCGGGCATGGAGTCGATTGATGGTGCGTTGGCTGTTGATAAATTGTAGTGCTTGATTGTCGCTACACAATATGAACTCTTGATGTAACAGATATTGTTCCCATTGCTTCAACGCACGGATAATGGCATAGAACTCTTGCTCGTAAGCGGTCCACTTCTGTCGGGCAGGACACAGTTTTTCGCTAAAGAAGGCTATGGGCCTACCTTCTTGTGTAAGCACAGCTCCAACGCCAATTGAGGATGCATCTGTTTCTACTGTAAACAACTTGTCAAAATTAGGAAGTGCCAAAACAGTTGCCGAACTCAATGCCTGTTTGAGTTCTTCAAAGCTAATCTGCTGCTCGAGTCCCCAATGAAATGACTTAGATTTGAGACAGTCGGTTATCGGGGCTGTGATGATACTAAAATTTCTAATGAACTTCCGGTAGAAGTTGGCTAGACCATGGAAACTCCGGATGTCAAATAAGGATTTCGGTGGTGGCCAGTCACGGATTGCTGCCACTTTTTGAGGATCCATGTGGATTCCCTCTGCTGAGATCACAAAGCCCAGAAATTTCACTTGCGACATGGCCAGTTCACACTTTGGGAGATTAACAAATAATCTCTGTTCTTTAAGGATTTCAAATATAAGTTTAAGATGCTGTAAATGCTGTTGGCGGTCAGAGCTGTATACAAGTATGTCATCGAAGTAAACGATGCAAAATTTACCCAAAAACGGCTTCAAAATCTCATTCATCATTCTCATAAATGTAGATGGAGCATTGCATAAACCGAACGGCATTACCTTCCATTCGTACAAACCTTGCGGGGTTTTGAAAGCCGTCTTCCATTCGTCACCAGGACGAATGCGGATTTGGTGGTAGCCGCTTCGGAGGTCTAGCTTCGAAAATATGGAAGAGCCCATCAGCCAATCTAGTAACTCGTCGACTCGTGGTACTGGGAATCTGTACTTAACTGTGATTTTGTTGACTGCCCGACTGTCAATACACATTCGCCACTTACCATCCTTCTTCGGGACTAGCAGTGCCGGCACAGCACAAGGGCTCATGCTTACTTGGATCAATTGCTGTTTGAGGAGATTATCAACTATTTCCTGTAGAATGAGTTGCTCTTTCGGATTAAGCCGATAGTGAGGTAAGTTTGGCAACATGGCTCCAGGCATCAGCTCAATTTGGTGTTGTATGGTCCTGAGGGGCGGTAATTCAGCCGGCAAATCTTCAGGTATTAGCTCACGGTACTCCTGCAGGAGCTCCTTCAAATCATCTTGCAACTCAGACGGTTTTGTGATCGGGTTCGGCTCAGTAATCAGAAGTGCGAACATGGGAGCTGGTTCCCTCCAGCAATGTAACAACGTCGAACCCGTAACGAGGTGCAATGCATTTGGTTGCGGTGGCCCTGTATTTTGCATCTTAGTATCTGGCAATCCCGGTAGCAATTTAAGACGTCGACCCTTCCAGTCGAAAGAGTATACGTTTGCGCGGCAATCATACGTGGCTCCAACATCGAACTGCCACGGTCTTCCCAAAATCAGGTGGCAAACGTCCATTTCTAGAACGTCGCACAAAACTTCACAAACGTATTGTTTGCCGATAGAAAATGCCACCCGACATGAATCCGTAACCATAATATCCACCCCTTTCTTGACCCAACCTATTTTATAAGGTTGTGTGTTTTTGATAGTCTTTAATTGCAGAGTTTGAACAACGGATCTTGAGACCACATTTTCGGTGCACCCGCTATCAATTACTAAGTCACACACCCTTCCACTTATAGTGCATCGAGTCCTGAAGATGGCGTGACGCTGAGATAAGTTTTGCTGGCGCGGTGCTAACAGCAGTTTTTCCATGACATATAGCAAAGGTTCACCTTCATCTGCCGGAATCTCTTCAATCTCACCCTCTTCATCTCCCCCAATCTCAGCTTGTTCAGCATCTTCTTGGCATTCAGCTAGCTGCACTTGTTGCCTTTGAGGGCATTCGTTCGACTTATGGCCTGGTTGGAAGCAACGGAAACATTTGAGTGTATTCGGTTTTGTGTAGGGGTTGTCTTTGGTCACGGGCCTGCTCCTGACCTGAACCTTTCCGTCGCTCACCGCATGGGCAGGCGTAGCTGGCTGTGTGACTGGTGCATTGCTCGTCTGAGATTTGATAACTGGCGGAGTATTCTTACTGGATCCTGTATTGGTTTCTTGCCATGGGCGCCTATTGTAAGAACTGTTAGTTGTCTTGGTATGGCGATTCTGTTGTAGCTCGGCCTTCATAGCGAAATTGACAGCCTGCGGCATTGACCAGACTGAATTCAGCTCCAATCGCTCTTGAATGCTCTCTTTAAGTCCGCCGATGTATCTGGCTACTAATTGATTGTTGGACTCATTGAGATTGTTCCTCGCACTCAAGCGATTGAACTCCTCTGTGTAGTCACTCACCGATCGGCCTCCTTGAACACAATGTTGATACCTTATATAAAGTATCTGTTCATAGTCGGTGGGTAAAAATTGTGCTCGCAGCAACTGTTTCATCCGGCCCCAAGTTCTTACTCTCCCTTTGCCCTCTCTTTGTCTCATTTGTAGAATTTGTGCCCACCAAGCACTAGCTCCACCCTTCAACCGGCACGCTACGTATTTGACTTGTCGTTCGGGATCCACTTCCATGTACTCGAAGAAGTTTTCCACGGCCTTTTCCCAGTCTAAATAATCCTCAATGTGTAAATGCCCATCAAAGAAAGGGATGTCTAGCCTGACCTTGAATTCTGCTGGGTAATGTTGATGATGCTGCATAGGTCTTCGGCGTCTGTGATATTCTCCGTGCCGTGGTCGAAGACCATCGCGTTCATCTTCCTCACTGGATTCCAGTACTTCATTGCCACGAACCATTTGAGCTTCGTCTTCTGAATCCGATATCTCCTGAGTGTAAACAGGAATGTGACGGTTGGGGCGGGGCGGTATTTCACCGCGTCGGGGTTGAGGCCGATTTGCCGGCGTTTCATCTCTATGGAATGGCGGGTGTGGTGTCTGTCCCGTTCGTAGGAGATTAAACTCTCGACGGATTTCCACCGTTAACCTCTGCACATCGGCAGATAGTTCATCGAGCCGGCGGTTGACGCCCTCGTGCTTTGTCCACAACGCCTCCAAGCTCCGGTCATCTTCCGTAGCTGGAGCTTTGCCGCGATCATTCATTCCGCAGGTAATGGCTCTGATACCACGCTGATGCGCCCACGAATCGTCTTACCTGCAAGAATAACCACAAGCAAAAACAAAGAAGCAGAACACAAGTTCTGTAGGGAAACTGAGTTTCTTTGTATTAATGATTTCTTTTTGTAAAAAGCTGTGTTTCTCTATGTGCCCCCTTTTCTATATATCTTTCTTCCTATTGCTGTAAAAGGAAAATCAACCTATAAAAGCAAATGCTGTACTTAAAAACAGAAAGGGAAAATAAGCTAGTGGAAAGCAGGAAAAAGTGAGGAAGTTTGTTATTAGTGGTAAGTTGTCTAAGAACTTCCCTTTAGCTATCGTGCACCGCATCACAAACTCTGTTTAATTTAGGCCATGGGGCCCACCAATGCTGCCGCCCCCTCTCTTGTCTGCCTCGCCTCTTTGGACCGGCGGGGCATAGGCTTGAACCGGTCCAGGTTGGACCGGTTCAGGTCTGACAGGTTGTTATATAGGGGGAAAGGTAGAGGAAGTGTTGATAGATAGTGGGACAACCCACAATTTCAATTTCAATGAGAACGTGGATAATTGTGGCTAAAGCTAGTAAACACGAGATGTTATGGTGTGATGATAGGGGCAGGGAAGATGGAGAGTAGTAGGGGCATCTGTAGGGGATTATTCCTAACACTGTAGGAGGTGCCAGTAAGGGAGGATTTCCTTCCATTAGAGTTAGGAAGCACTAACGTGATATTGGGTATGAAATGGCTGTAGAAGTTGGGAAAGACCAAGATTGATTGGAATGTGCTAATGATGGAGTTCAAAGTTGAGGGAAGGAAATTGGTTATTAGAGTGGATCCTAGCCTGTCCAAAACTATTATTTCACTCAAAATCATGGTGAGGGAAATTCAGGGTAGAATGGACAAGCTTAGTAAAAAGGATGTACAGAAGATGCCATAGGAGGTTCTAGATACCAAAATTGAAAACTAGATGTTAACCTCGTTTTTATCATGCTTTTCCCTCGATCGTGCTAGATCAACTTGATCGAGCCATGAAGAGTCAAATTCAAGTCAGTTCGGTGTCAATTAGAATTCAATTTCAAATTGACTCGGATCGAGTCTAATTTGACTCGACTGCACTCGATCAATTTCGATCAACATATGCCGACCTGCTCGAGCCCTAATTAGTTCAAATTTGTCTCAAAATTGGGTCTGATTTGAGCCCAAACCTGAGTCAAATCAACTCATTTTAATTTAAACAAAACTTCAATTGACTTTTGGCTTAATTTGAATCACTGCCTAAATCTGGTAATGGCATCCATGGCTACGATCGAGTGAGATCCACGATCCAGTCGAAATCTCGTTGTTCAGAAGACTGCTGCGACTCAGGCAGGCACCGAGCAGTGAGCAAAACCGTATTAGGGAGATTTTGGAAGCTGGAGCACGAGATGACGAATGGCGGGCTACCTTTCTCGAACTAGCGTGCCTTTACTCCAGGCGAAGACTCCAGGCGTGGGGAACGGTGGGCATTCAACACTCTCGCACTCTCTCTCTCTCTCTCTCTCTCTCTCTCTCTCTCTCTCTCTCGCTCTCGATTTTTCCCATTCGCGAATCCTCCGCTCTCTCTCTCTCTCTCATTTTCGCACAGCCCAGGCAAATCCCCCTTTCTCTCTGGCTCTCGATTTTCTCTCCAGTTCACACAAGCCAGGGGAGATCGAAACCCCTGCTCCCTTCATCTCTCCTCTATTCGGACCGAACCTGAAGGCCAAAGCCCCTCCTCTCCTACTGCGGTTCGCCTCTTGCTCGGCCATACGAAGATAGGGTCGAATCCTCCCTCTTCGCCTCATCTCGGTCCGCAAGCCCCAGGTCTCGTCGCCTCTCTGCCCGCGAAACTGAACCCGCTTCTTCCACCTAGACATGGCCAGCCCTAGTTGTACTCGACATCTTCGACTGATCCTCGGCCGACACCACCATCTCCCGCAGCCGGTTTTCTTCTTTCTTGGACCGAATCGGCTGACCTTCTCTCCCTTTTGCTTGGATCAAGAATTGTTGCAGCAAACAACCCCTTTGCTTTCTTGCATCAAGAATCATAGTAAGCAATCCCTATCTTTTCTAAAAATAAAATCTACTATTTAAAATCAGTTCCAAAAATAAAATTTTCATTTCCTAATCTCTCTTGAATTGAAATATGTATTTAAATTTATCAAAAAGAAATTTAAAATCTGCACTCTCTAAGCTTTATATATCTAAAAAAAACTGCACCCAAACCCTCTACCAAGTATTGGAAATCTGTAGAAATTTACATATATATTTGGTGATTTATATTTTGTGATGTGAGCTTAGATCGGGGTAAATCTTAAGAAATAATAGTATTCTTTACTAAGTGTATAAGAAATGTTTGTGATAATGCTTACTAAAAAAATATACGTATAAACTTAGAGCAATGAGAAATTGGAAGTGCCGTCCTCTCACTCTTGAGATATGCGAATTTTCTCAAAAGTATCGATCTTTTCCTCTAAAATATTTTTCATTCGCTAATAAATGTCTTGTTTTCTTGCATCTTTGATGGTATTACAAAGATGTTTTGATGATTGGAGAAATTCATATATTCTGTTGAGCTTTAATGCAAATGCAAGTTCGATGGGTCACAATCACAGATCTTCTCCTCTCTATTCATTATTTTGATTTCTTTGAATAATAAAAGAGTTGTACATATATTTATTTTGGAAGGTTTTGCAAGCATTAATCATCTTGTAGTGAACTAAAAAAGAGCTGAAATATTCTTGTGATGCATTATATAATGTTTAAAATTCATTATAGTGAACTACGTAGTGCTGAATTTTTCTTGTAATGAGTTATGTTGTGTTGAAATCCTCTTGTGAAGAATTGCAAAATGCTGAAATATTCGGTTAATGAGTTGCAAAAGTGCTGAATTTATTTTCTTATTCACTTCTACCCATATTCTTATTTTCTTGTTCTCTAAAAGTGTGCAATGGGTTTTGTACATTCATGATTCAAGAGAGAGAACTTGGATTTGTTGCATGAAACATGGTTTATGATTGGAGAACCTTTTGAGTTGTTGGAAGGAAATAAAGTTGCTATAATTTTCCTTCTCTCAAATTTCATTTGGCATAAGTATTGATTTGGAAAAAATAAGTAAGTTGGAAGCTTACAGTTGCAAGGTAGAGTCAATTTGGAAGTCTAGTATTTCTTTCTATACACTTGCATCAAGTTCCCATATGTGCTTTATTCTCTAATGGTATACATGTGTACACATTAAATGGGTAAGAATTTGGATTTCTTATCTCCTTATGAGTTATTTTGGAAAGCTTTTATGACTTATTTTATGTTGGAGAACCATGTGATTTGCTTTATGTGGGAATATTTCATAAGTTGTCTTGTGGTTAGAAGGTTTCATAAATGTTTGGGAGAATAATTATATTGCGATATTTTATGATTGTGGCTTGTGTAGGGAAGAAGAATGATGTATCATCTCTTTGCATAAAGAAGAATGAATAGTCATTTGAAGTGCTTTGTGAATTTTTGGAGAGTGGAGCATGTTGGAAAGTTGAACTTATTGGATTTGTTGGGTGGTTGTTGGAAAGATAGAACTTTGACAAACATGCATTAAGTCTCTTACCCTCCCTACCCCTATCTCTTCTCCTTCTACTGGCCTATCTCTTTCTCTATTATTTCTTTTGCTACTTATGCTTTGAGATGAAATGTGGTAAAGTGTTTTCTTGTTGCTTGGTTTTGAGAGAGGTATGACCTTTATTCTCAATTCTCATCCTTAAAAATGCATATGGCTTCATTGTCATGGCTTTAGTGGAAACACGAAAGGTGATTTGGCATGTGTTTTGTAACTTCTTTCATAACTTCGGGAAGCCTCTTTTCGTACACTCTAGCTACTTGATGATTTTGAATTTGTGGAAGAAATTGTTTATGTTGAAAGTCATTTGTTAGCTTTATACTATTGTTTTATGATAAATACTTAGAAACATATTTGACATCACATGAGGAATGAGCTTTTAATCACATAAGTGATTTCATCTATTTTATATTGCAATTACAATGTTGCATACCTTTCGTTATATAGTTTTCTTTGAGCTTTAAGAAGATCTGTGGCTTGGTTTATGTTTGAAAGATCTTTTGGTTTGTTT